ATAAATCCTCTAACAGTAAATTAGCCAGTGGTTCAATTGTCCTACTCCTGTATGTATATATATATATACATACATGATGCTGCTACTTTGGGGATCATTAAGCTGAAGTTTTCATGTCACAAACAAGAAAGATGAATTATTCATTATAAATTATTACCATGAATTATTCTTGTAACTTTTTTTCATTTGTTCAAATAAGATGTCCTGTATCAAATCAGTGCTGCATGCAGTTTTATTTTTAACTAGTAAAGAACAAGTTATGTAGTGTAGCTTTAAAATAGTACAAAACAAATTATTGAAAAATGCATCATCAGTCTGTAAAGAAGGTCATCATCATGCACCAAATCCTTTTGCTGCCTTGCAAGCACTATTTACAAATATGGTATAATCACACAGGGTTGTCTATTAGAAAACTATCTGTGTGGACACGACAGAACTAATAAACTACTTGAAATTCTGAGTTAATGAAGATATTTAAAAATGTGATCTCATGATTTGTAACATCATAAGATCTTTCCCTTCATGTAGTGTAACCATCATTTTCTGACAGGAGGATGCTCTTGACGGCGAACATATAATTGCATTTGCTGAGGAGGGTGATCCAGGTCTGAAATATGTTTAATATGCTGCTTTTATTGATTCAGTTAAATTCTCTTTTGAATGTACCTGACATGTTTTTGGGTCTCTTTCAGATGGCTTTGAATTCCTTGAAATTGTGAAGGAGGTAGCAGAGGATAACACAGAGAATCCTGACCTGAGCATCATCTGGATTGATCCCGATGACTTCCCTCTGGTAACTCTAAGGGCTCTATTTTAACAATCTAGGCACAAAGTCTAAAGCGTACGGCGCAAAAGCTTTAATGTCCGATTCCACTTTTAATATTTTAAGGACGAAAAAATACGGTTTGCGCATGGCACATGGTCTAACAGGGTTTTGTTATTCTCTTAATGAGTTATGGGTGTGTTTTGAGCATAACGTGCATTAAACCAATCATAGTATCATCTCCCATTCCCTTTAAGAGTCAGTTGCAATACGTCATGGCACATTCGCTATTTACATGGCGGACTTTGTAAAAGGAAAAACTGAACGCTGCACTAGCGAGAAAACACTTTGACAGACCATTTGCAGTGCGAGGATAGAGAACGAGCCTCCTCCATTCGGCCTCTTTACTTTTACTCTTTACTCCTTTACTTTCGTGGATAAGGAAATGGTGATGTACGCACTCCACTGAAGACATCCATTAGCCTACATATTTAATTTAGTTTGTTAAGCGCAAAGATTTGTTTCAAAACTATCTCTAAATTCAGTTCTAATTTCCAGCAAACAAATAAATGAACAATAATACCGGCATGTGATCAAAAAACTGAGGTGTATCCAAATGCACATCCTGTGCCCCATATGGTCCAAAACCCAACAGGTGGACAAATCTATGCTTCTTTTTATTAAAACAAATATAAATATGCATATAATAAATACTACTACTACTACTATTAAATATTACATTATAAAAATGCAAATTGTCATGAATAAACTGAAAAAACCACCGAGATGAAGAAGGAATGGAGGCAGGGTTTTTGTATTTATGTAAAAAATAATAATTTTTGTAACATTTAAATGCTTTAATTCTTTTTATTTAAAATATTTCCATACTGCTGTACATCCTGTGTGTATTAAATAATGTGTACGCTTTTAAGGCACACAACTATTGTGATCTGCGCTGGACTTTAGATTTGCTGGTCCTTTTTAATTTCTTAAAATGGCACATCCATGAGTCCACGAAGCTGCACAAATGGATTTGCTATTTAAACAACGTCGCGCAAAACAGGAAAAATAGGATTGCGTTGGTCTGAAAATAGCAAGACATCAGCATATCTTGTGCCTTATTGCGTGTAGTGTATGATAGGGCCCAAAGGCTTTATTACACTAAAAAATACATATTCATTGGATGATCCTTGTGAAAACAGATACCGGTGCTTAAGCATGTTTTTGTGACCTGCAGCTTGTCCACTATTGGGAGAAGACCTTCGACATTGACCTGTCCTCACCTCAGATTGGCGTTGTGGAAGTGGATGATGTAAGTCTCTCACTCAGGATTGCATTTGGAGAATGTTGAGTCATTTGAGCTCTAAAATGAGCTGCTGTGTCTTCTGCAGGCTGAGAGTATCTGGTTTGATATGGACGATGATGACATGCCAACAGTTGATGAGCTGGAAGACTGGCTGGAGGACGTGCTGGAGAATAAAATTGATCCGGATGACGACGATGATGACGATGATGATGATGACGACGACGACGATGATGACGACGACGATGATGATGATGACGACGACGATGATGATGACGACGACGATGATGATGATGACGATGATGATGACGACGATGATGATGACGATGATGATGACGACGATGATGATGATGATGATGACGACGATGATGATGACGACGATGATGATGATGACGACGATGATGACGACGACGATGATGACGATGATGATGACGACGATGATGATGACGACGACGATGATGATGATGATGATGACGATGATGATGACGATGATGATGATGACGACGATGATGATGACGACGATGATGATGATGATGATGATGACGACGATGATGATGATGACGACGACGATGATGACGACGACGATGATGATGACGACGACGATGATGATGATGACGACAATGATGACGACGACGATGATGATGATGACGACGATGATGACGACGACGATGATGATGATGACGACGATGATGATGACGACGATGATGATGACGATGATGATTAAACTTATTCCATCTCACTTGCCATCTATTGTCCAAACTAAAGTCTGTCATCTGTCTAAATCATCAACGTCATAAAAATTCCTTTACTATTTCTTGTCGGAAATCACAAGGTTAAACGTCATCATGTAACTGTCACCTTGTACCATGCATATCTAATAATGCACTCATTATTGTCTCTCCCATTGACCCAATGTTCTATTCAAAGACCACGCTCTCTCTTAGACCTTCAGATATTCATATGTTGACATCACACACTACAATCATTAGCAATAGACGTGTATTGCTTTTAGTTTCTTACCATCCAGTTTCTTTCATTCATAAGAATATAGGCCTACTGTAATTGGAAATACAACAAAAATATTCTGGCAAAGGACCTGACTTTCAAGCAAAAATACTACCCAAAAACATGTAGGATCCTCAGAGGGAGCAGCGACATTATTTTAAGTGTACATCCATCTGTTAAAGTTGTTGTTATTGTCTCGCTGTTTGTTTGTTTGTTCCAATATGTGGATTGAGTGTTTGTCCCACTGTGATAGGACCTAAAGGTGCTAAGCAGGCTTTTCCTCAAGGTCATTCGTCATACCTTCTTTCTTTGTTAAGATAGGATGTGACCTTATGTGACGTTAGACAGAGAAGGGATTGTCCAGCCTTCCTTCGGTGTCTAAAATGTGCAGTAAATTGTTTTCTACTGAAAAAGAAACATTGATATTTTATTTTTTTTAACGAAGACAACTCTTACTCTTAAGTCTTAAAATAAAAAAACAGATTGGAATAAAATGGTGTAAATCATAGTTTTTATATGAATTTAAATACGCCAGATCTGGTGCTAGATGGTCTGCTTTAGACATATTTCAATGTGGGATGGCAGTTTTCAGCACTAGCTCTGCATTTCTCTGTTCATGTGAGGATACAGATGTTCATGTTGCTAATGATTTTTTTTCTTTAGGTTTTCCTTTGGTCACAAGGGCCTAATGTTTCACATAATTGCAAATGTAATGATGTGTTGAGTGTGTTAATGTGTTTATTCATTCTGAAGCAGTATCATATCTCTGTTTATTATTCTGTTTAATTGCATTCCCAAACAAATTGTGGCACTTTCCACGAATAGGGTACAATTTCTATAGTAAGTTTAATAAAAGTAACGTTTAATAAATTTATAAATTATACTTTTTCAACAATTTTAGATGGTCTTTTTATTAGCTGTCATACTTTGTATTCGTTTTCTCTGGGGTTTTAAAGTCAACATGGAATGAAGACTCATTTTCTAAACGAATGTTTTAGATTTCATTGTATGTCATAACTGGATCCTCCAGTGAATACTGACTACTCTCTGGTGATGTCTGCATTTTTCTTTTTCGATAACTTGTTACAGTAGAATGTAGACTACATCACAGTAGGCCTACAGAAAAATTTGCAACTTTAGCGACTTTCTATTGCTAATATGTTTTTTTTTGTCATTTTATAAATGTTCATCAATGTTAAATTGACAAAAAATATTTAATTAAAGTATTATAAGACTATTTTGAAATATAAGTTTTTTCAATTAAAATGCACTAAATATCACAACAACTGATTACTATTATCACCAAGGTTTATGTTTATCTATTTATAAAAATATAATTATAATGGCACACCTTTGACATTTTTTTGATTGATAATAGTTAACCAAAATATCTTGGTATCTTAAAGCCAATAAAAGGGTTATGTGGCGCAATAATTTGGGACATATAAAAATCCATATTCGTGAAATGTGCCACATACACTGAAAAAAAATGAATCTGTTGCAAACAATTTATGTGTTGAATTTAAACAAATTAAATTTAGTAATATTCAACCTAATATGTTTGTTTACATTCAGCCCAAATAAATTGTTTACAACCATTTAACGTAAAAAAAAATTTGAGAGAATTCAAGGAATCATCTTTGAATAATGTTTTTCAATGTATTACGTATCATCTTATTTATACAGGCATAATTATAGCTGTTTTTAATTGTTTATTATAATTATTCTAGCCACAAACAAGTTCATATATAAATGCTGTATATTACACACTCACATTTTTGTAAAGATAATAAATTTAAACGAGGAATATTCAAGAATAAATAATCAAACGACCAACTCCATTATATGGGAAAATATTAATAAGTATTTATTTTTAGGCTTTTGGCGCCACCTTTATTAGATTAATACGCACATACGTCATCGTGGAATGTCAGCAGACACGCCCATTACTTCCATCTTAGCCATGTGGCTATGACCACAAACGACTGCGCGTCCGATCCGTTTGTTTATGCCGTCTAACCAATATTGTGCATGTTCAGACCGCGAGCAAAATGTCCGAGTCCGTGTCCCGGTTTCAGGCAGAGGTGGCGGCCGTTCTGGAGGTGCTGCTGAAGGTGGCCGTGGTGGAGATAACGAAAGTTTTCGAAGGACGCTCTGTGGATTCCCATGGCTGCACGGTCGACGGAGGAGCTCGGGGAAAAGAGGAGCTGGATTGCGTCCCTGACATCAGGGCTCATATGAAAAGTGCATTGAATAACCTCTCGGAGAAGATGGTTTGCAGCGTCGGCGTGCAAGTAGGAGAAACGCTGCTGACCCGTCCACAGGGTACGTGTATTTGCGTAGACAACATCCACTGCATGTATGTAGCTTGCACATTACTTCCACATTTGTCGAATTCAACAGGAGTAAACCGGAAATGGAGTAGATGGCAAGCCGTTGTCCTAAATAAATGTCATTTAAAACTGACTATTGTATAACAAAGACGCTTGTTTTTATAATTAGTGTCTGTCTGCTTTTCTAGCAATTGTTTGTTGTATCCTAGCAGCAGGCTACTTTTCGTCTAAGTTAGCTAAATTTGACCATGCTAGAAAATTAAATCAGTGGTTCTTAATTAATTATTTACACCTTTTTAAACCAAGACTGTACCTACTGAGCTATTTTCAGTAAAGTTTCTGCATGGTTATATGTTAATTATAATAGTGATAAACAATGAGGAGACAGTGCTAATAATCGAAGCCAAACGTTTATTTTATGCAGTTTTCCTTGTGTAACTGTATATTATACTATATTATTTTATTATATTACTATATATAATGTTATATATTGAAGTGCCTTATAAAAACAACAAGATATTATCATTTCAAAGCAAAGTGGAGCTGCAATGTTTACTAGATTCAAGGTTGAAGTCCGTCTGTGCAGCAGTTTGCATTTGACAGACCTTTGTTTAGTTTTCATGCAAACACTGCAGTTGTTCGTACACGTGACACCTCATAAAATAAGATATAACTAATTCAGAGAAATGACATGTTTTTATATTCAAAATATTGGTACGTAAAAGTTTGTTTTTACTGTAAAGTTATAACTCACACCTTTCACAACTAAATATGAAAAGTAATTTGTCAGTAATTGACACAGGCCATGTTTCTCATGTTTGTAATTGTGATGTAAATTGTAATTGTTTTCTGTCCCACCCCCAAACTCCATTCAGATGAGTGTGTGTCCACTGAGAGGATCAGCTGCAATCTGCAGGAATCCAAAAGAGAGGAGGGGCTTTCCCCATCTGAAAGTCTCTGCAAGGAGCCTCCAGAAGCAGTGGATTTACAATGCATGGTTGACCTTCCATGCACAATCCTCAAAGAAACCGTAGGTGGCGCTCATCTGTAGCTTTCTTGAGTTTTGTCAACTAAATTCTCAACAAGATACCCTTGATGGTCATTCTACACTTTGATTATTGTATATATTTTTATGCCTTAAATTTAAAAACTGCTGTCAAATGTTTAGATGTAATATATTTACTTTAGGTAGTAAATGAAGAGTTCATGTATAAATAACTTATCCCAGTTCTCTGATGGATAAAATGCACCATATAAGCTTAAATGGACTCTTGGACAAGATGAGCACTGTTTTGATTGGAGGTAGAAATAAATGGATACAATTATACATTTCAATGAAGAAAAAGAAATATAGGGGTGACACGGTGGCTCAGTGGTTAGCACTGTCGCCTCACAGCAACAAGGTCACTGGTTTGAGTCCTGGCTGGGCCAGTTGGCATTACTGTGTGTATTTTGCAGGTTTTCCCCACAGTCCAAAGACATGCACTATAGGTGAATTGAATAAACTAAACTAGCTGTAGTGTATAAGTGTGAATGTGAGAGTGTATAGGTGTTTCCCAGTACTGGGTTGCAGCTCGAAGGGCATTCGCTTTGTAAAATGCTGGATAAGTTGGTTGTTCATTCTGCTGTGGCGACCCCTGATGAATAAAGGGAAAATGAATAAAAAATAAATTTATTTAGGCGAAAGTTCGCAACATAAAAATAGTTTCGGGTGCTGCTCTTGAGGCTACTGGCAGACTTGCGGTTTGCTGTTTTGTCACCTTGTGGAGTTTTAAATGATTTTTATTATGTTTTTAGTTTCTTTTTAAAGTGAAGATGATACATCTGTGGAAAATCGCTCTTTTGTGTTAAGTGTTGGTGGTTATTGTGTTAAGTGTGTCATTCTTCTTTTGTGAAGCACCACCATGTCACTTTGAATTGCCCCAAGTAGGGTTGTAATGATACCATTAATTAATATCACGATACTATTCCATCTAAAGTGTTGCGATACTGTACTTCAGTGTTGGGCAGTTGCTTTACTACATTTTTCAGTAGCGTAGCGGTAGCATCACTATTTTCTAAATCAAATGCCTTTTTTAGTAGCAAAGCAATTATTATTTTTTTAATCAAGTAGTGCGGTAGTGTTCATTTACCAATTACGGATCAATAAGCCATGGCACAGACATTCACAGAGCTGTGAGACCGGTGTCTAGCAGATGAAAGTAAATCCATATGATATTGAGAATAACAATTTCCTCTTCTTTTTTTACCGTGGTTGACAACAATCTTTTTGGTGCATTACCGCCACCTCTCGCTCTGGTTGGTGACGTTGCCAACCAAATTTGCTTGATGGAAAGGTGACTGAGGGAGAGAGAGGAGTTATATATAGTTTACTGTAGTAAAGGCTGAAATATACTATGGTAATTACTATAAGTTCATGATGGTTACTTATATTTATTTAGTGTAATTTATTAATGAATTTATGTAAATATACAATGCAATGCTCATTCCTAAATATTTGGCTTTACTATAAATTACTATCGTATTTTAAATGTGTAACACCTGGTTGTATTGGATTTTTTTGTTTTTGCTGTTATATATTTTGTTTCTGTTTAGTGCAGCATATTTATTGCAGTAAATAACTGAACAAGTATGCCTCTTATGTTTCATTGACAGTTTTATTGATCAAGATATGATTAACTTGGATTGAAGTTGCTTCGATTCAAAAATGAAAAATTGAAAAATAGCTTAGATGTAGCTAAGCTACTTTTGCTAAGTAGCTTTTAGCTTAGCTTCTACATTTCCCAGGGGGTAGCTTTTAGTGTAGTTAAGCTACATTTTGAGTAGCTAATAGCTTGCCCAACACTGCTGTAGTTCATAACTCAAATACATGAAATAAAGAAAAATGTCAGAAATACTATATTTTATTTGTTATAATAGACCTACCTGAATTGAATTAATAATTCCCCTATCATTGAAAAAAAGTATTTGCACGTCTCTTCACCTAAAATGTATTTGTACCAACAAAACAATACATGAAATTAAAATTACAAATGATACCAAACGAAATTTGTTACAAAAAGAGCGTTTTTCCAACAAACTTAGGCTGTATGAAGTGGTCAAAATTGTTTCAATGTTTCCTGTTGCTATTTTAGGCTTTACGTCTCTTTTTTTTTTTGTCTTATCAGGTAAGAATCCAAAGTAATTCAAAATTTCCCTTTGCGAGTTGTTCTTTTTAAGAGAGTAGCCGCATTTCCACTATCAGGCCAGTGCGAGCCAGGGCTTATATCGGGCCAGGCCGGGCCAATCGCCCGGGAGGTTGAGCAGTGAGGCCAAAATCATGTCGCGTTTCCACTGTGGGGCTAGTAGCTCGCAGCGCGTCACGCAAACCCCGCCCTCAGAACATCCCCTGAATCGAACGTCACTCAAACCGCCCACTTCAGCGGGAATCAGGCAGATAAAGCACACCATCACATCATCACGAAACTATTAAAATAAGGACAACCAAAACAAACAAATGACACGTTACTGTACAGCAGTGCAACGCATGTCTATACGCACATGCCTGTGTGTTTTCATTCATCATATTCATTTACTCGCCGACCGACTGGCATCGAAATCCAGTGGTCTTGCCACCAACGGAGGGACCCGGAGCGCAGGGAGCGCACACATCCATAATATAACACCATATATATAAATTCTCCGTTAATAACTCGATATAAAATGTTTTTTAAAACATCCTCTAGACAGAATCTGTCCAACATTCATCCCAAATGCTCCGGAGAGAACTGAAACATTATTTTTTCCCCCCTATAGGCTTTATGACAGTTAATAGGTGATTCCCTTTATTTAAAGATGTTGCTTATTATATCTTAAGTAAAGGAAAGTGTTCAGTGTTTCAGCACAGTAAGAGCAGCACGTAATAAAATATAGCCTATATTTCGTTGCGCTCAGCAGCTATGCACTAATAAAGCTCTTTATGTATTAAAAATTTCCTTTTTTAATTTTACCACGTCATATAAAAACATACACACTTGTTTGAGGACACAGAACACATTTTGAACTTGCAGTTTTCCCCGTCAAAAAAGTGCTGCGCAGCTGAAGACAGAAAAAAAGGTCGCCTAGTTTCTGCTTTCACTCACCCCGAAAATACTCTGTTTGCATGATTTGATTAATTTAATCGTATCCAAATACTTTATAAATAATATTTAAAACATTTTCCGGTGTTTATTTATTTTTATTTTTTTAGAAAATATCTAAAATCTTTTTTTCAAAGAGGCTTTTGAAAAATGAAAGTTTAATATAAATTTGAAACAGTTTGATATAGTACCTAATTGTTATAGCTATAGCTTTTGTTAGTTTTATATTGGTTTATTTATTTAATGTGGTTTTATTATAGGCCTATCTAATATTTGTTATTCTTTAATTTATTTCAATATAGGGCTATTTTATCTAGATATGACACTATTGTTTTGAGCCTACAAAAGTGGACATGAAATTTGTAAAGTTTAATGTCCTACTGTTGTATTCATATAGTGTATCATCTCCAAAATAAATTAAAACAATAAAAATAAAAGAAAAAAGCCGCTCGCGGCATCAACAGAGCTATGAATGGAGCGCTCTTTTTTTCGGTCTCACACACATACACGGGCATCTAAACGTGCAAAAACACACTTACAGTATTAAACTTGACAAAACCTCTTGAAAACCTTTACTGTCTGCTGTGTCTTTAATATGGTGTAAAGATTATTATGCGTTATTGAAACATCAAAGATGCAGCAAAGAAAGATCATTTTATGCAACAGCCTTACATTTAAAAGAGAAACTTTCACTCCGCCCCGAAGCTCCGGCTGGCCCTCCTTGGCCCAAGGTATTCGGCGGGCCGAAAAAGGCTGGCCGTTGGCCCCGAGAAAGCCCCGCTTTGGCCCGATTAGGCCCCGGAAGTGACAGTGGAAACGCCACTGGCCTTGGCTCGCCCTGGCTCGCTCGCTTTAGGCGCGATAGTGGAAACGCGGCTATTGACAGGAGCAGAAATAAACAAATTCAGATTCAAACTGAAGCATCAGAAAATATTCAATAGGCTACCATAAAAGCTACGAATTCTACTGTTTTGCAACCTTAAAAGGCCCCATAGACTATTCAAATAAAATGGGTCATTGCTGCACAAATGTGTGAGCATTTTATTGAATTTTTCACATGCAACATTATGTATTGTAAACAGACCATTAATGACGACACTGCCATTTACAAACTACAGTGGCAGCTTCAGTATTTTGGAGCCATAGTATCACGATACTACCATAATACTGTTAAACCGTGCAACCCTAGCCCCAATGGGATTAATAAAGCTTTAAACTAAAATTGAATACAAATTTTTTAATGTCTACTACTTTAATCTTACTAAGTCATGTGTGCTTTTTGTGTTGCAGGGGATTGGTGTAGGGAGAGGAAACCTAATTCCTGACGCACCGTGGACAGATGATCTAAAGAAAACAGAGACCATTCAGGAAAATGGTATGAAAATCACACACCAGCCTTCTTTATAATCTTTTAGATTAAACTGTTCAAACATTCCCAACAGTATTATAATGCATGAAATCAACACTATGTTTTCTGAACTTAAGTAGCCTATATTTCTGTGTGCTGTTACTTGTATTAAGATTCATACTGGTGCTGTAAATTCTCTAAAAATGCTTGTATTTTAAATTGTTGAAACTGCTTAAAATGTATCAGCTGCTTTCATAATTTGGCACTAAATAGGCAATAGTAATTCATTTTAAATAAAAAAAAATGGGTTTGCTTTTGCATAAATGAAATGAAGTCTGAGCATGTGACTGGTAGTATGTGCTTCCTGTCCCCTTATTGTTTTTTGCTTAAACTGTGGCAGAGGTCAAATGCATGGTGATTCCTGCCTCATGAGTGAACAGTGCATGAAATTAAAATAAACATAAATTTAAGACATATAAAGCTGATGAAACTACAGTTCAGAGATTAAATGAGTTATTCATTGATGGGGTAAATGCAAACATGCCATCAAACACTTCCTGTACAGTGTAGTATTTTAACAAATACTATCTGATTTTGTGTGTGTGTGTGTGTGTGTGTGTGTGTGTGTGTGTGTGTGTGTGGGTGTGTGTGTGTGTGTGTGTGTGTGTGTGTGTGTGTGTGTGTGTGTGTGTGAATGTAAATATGTAATTTGCCTCACTTGTGCTGTAAAAGTTTGAAAATACAGCTTGAAAGTGCTTTAATTTGAATTTTTGAAAAAGTGTAAGAACCCTGTATATAATGTTAGTAGAGGCAAGCAAACAAAACATGCACACACACACAACTTGGACGGGTGAGTATTTGTATAGCAAATTTCACACACGCTGATTCAATTTACCTTAAATAATTTGTTTAAGCCTGACATTTATAATGAATGTTGTTTCTAGCGCATGCCACTCAAACTTTTCTTTCCTATTTCTGTTCTGAAAACATTCATATTTAATGCATTTTTATTTTTGTGTTCCTTCTTTAGTTTATAATATCACCACTATTCTGTTCATTATTCCTGCATGACATGATGAAATGTAACTTCTGGTCATAGGTACATGACACTTAATACAGGTGAAATGAAATGTTTTGCTCTTGTCCACTTTTCAACTCTTTCCAGAGGTAGTCAGGAACACAGGAGTTTTTAATACCTTAAATGCTTATGTGATCAGCCACAGTAGAGCGTAATAGGATATGTTTTAAGACATTGCACCATAACAAGTATATACTTTTCATATAAAACAACCAGAGTACAATCAAAATTGTATATTGTAATGAAAATGCACATCGCTCTACAAAACCAGGTGGAAACAGCGTCTTATGGTATTGTGTGACTATTTTCTTTTAATAATGGCCATGAAATTAAGGGTAGGAGCTATAGGGGTATGAACATGACTACCAGTATTATGGTGTATATTTTGCTATATCATGGATATGGTTATTCTTTGTAAATTCAAATTTTTCATTTTTTATGAATTCACTTAATCTTTGTGATGAAAATAACAAAAAAAATCACTTCGAAGTTCGGGCCATTTTTTTTTTTAATGAATAAAATATATATATACAAAATGAAAAAGGTAAGTATAACATAACAAAATGTTATTCTTCGCAATAATTGAACAATATGCAATAACATTTTACAGTGAAAAAATGTGTTGGAAGAATATAATAATTGTCAGTTTAATCACTGATGCAGCTGGATTACCTTCCATTGGATGCACCTGTCCATCAGGCTGAAGCTGTTATCAGTTTGTCTAAATAACCTTGCTTGGTGTTTTTTTTTTTTTGTTCTTTTTTCAAGTTTATTTTGGGTAGAAACTGTGATCTTGTCAAGTGTAAACAAATATTCAGCAGATATTGACATATATATTTTGCACTGTCTCTCAGCAAAAGTAAACATAACGCAGTTGATGCATTCTTGAAATATGGCCGACCAAGGCCCGTTTACTCTGCCAGTTAAATGTGTTCCAATTTCAATTTTGTTTGCTCATGTGACGGATCGGCTGTGTTCTATGACCATGTAAACACGAAAAAACGCATGCATTCACATATTCAGAGATTGGTTTCAGACCTCCGTCATACGTGGAAATAAATCCGATGTAAATCCAATATGTGACGATGCGACTATCATGTACACAGGCAGATCGGATTTATTGAGGCATTTCATTATGTACGTCATTAAACTTGCGACAATGTGGTACTTCTCTGCGGTTTAATGATGTAGAAGGAAGAGCGTGTGTGCTCATCCTAAAATTTCAGACCCACTGCTCCTTATTAAACCCTGCCACAATATGCTCCCACCAGACCTGAGATCTCTCTCATACCCACGAATTCCTCCGAATGGTGGAGGACACCACATATAGACCATAGGCGCATGCAGCGATGACGGCCCTTTCCTTCCTCCTCCGCCTCAATGGTTTTAAAGTTGGGCAAACTTCGCTTATTACACAGAGCTAAAACCGAGACAATTTCTTCCATCGTGACCAGTGTGGTGCAGATGCTAGATCACGCTTTTACGCTTGTGCAATGTCATGAATTGTTTGTCAAGTTTAAACACACAAATCAGATATGGGTCACAATTAAAAGAACGTGTAAACGGACAGGCCAAAAAATCAGATATAGGCAACAAATCAGAATTAGGCATCAAGACCTGACAGTGTAAACTCCGTTTTTGATTACGCAGTCAAATAGCAGCCATAACTTACCCTGCTCTAACCTCTGTTTGAGGAAACAACAGTCCAGTAATCTGCTTACAGTGGTATGACGTTAAACAATGTGTCTTAATTTTAAATAAGGTTTGCTAAACTTTTGGGAGGTGTAAAGCAATCTAATACAGATATCATCTGAACAATAAGAAATATTGTGATGTGAATTTTTGCTCTCCTACATAAACCATAGTTGTTTTTCTCAGACTATCCAGTTGTTGATGCTCTAAAAAAATGAGTGTATCATGCTGAAATATCTGAAAGCTTTAAGTGTCTTCTGTGCTCTTTCAGGTCTTCGAGGACTTTCTCTTGAGGAACCGTCTGCACACTCTATAGTGGATCCAGACTCTCATCTGTTCAGCTCTGTTTTAGACAGCATTCCCATTGCTGACCTTTCCACTGACACTTTGAGCCAATGGGACCTTAGCCTTGTGGATGTCAATCCTTTGCCCTCACTTGAAAAACCTGAAGCTCCTCATACCAGCGAAATGTCATTGGAGGACACTGAGCTCAGCCAGGCCTCGGCCAGCAGTGCCGCGAGTGGAAAGAAGGTGCGTTTCCAGCTCACCCAAACACCTTTCGACTGCAAACTTTTAAGGCCCTGTTCTGTGCAGCTTGTGAACCTTCTGATGGTGTCCAGCGCGCACAAGGCAAACGGTTCCAGCAAAAAATGCTTCTCCGCACCCAAAGATCTACGTACGCATCAGCGGGTCCATACGGGACGCAGACTATGCTGCTTTAAAGAGTGCGGAAATGGCATTTGGCGCCTGCAGGGCGTCCTCGCTCACGGGCATCCTCACGCCTGCAAGATCTGCGGCAAGAAGTTCAAACGCAAAAAGATGCTCAAGCGGCACGAGCGGTTCCACACAGGAGAAAAGCCGTATTCGTGCAGGAGGTGTAAAAAGACGTTTGCCCTGCGGAAGAGTCTACGAAGGCACGAACGTTTCCACACGGGAGAAAGGCCCCACACTTGCCCCCACTGCAGGAAAGCTTTCCGCCTCAAGAACAATCTGAAGGCTCATCTGCGCTTCCACACCGGTGAAAAGCCCTACATTTGCAACCTCTGCTCCAAGGGTTTCAGGATCCGCAAGAATCTGGAGAAGCACAGACTCCTTCACTTAGCGCCGGTTAACTTTCGAACTCTTCAATAGCAGAAGGGTCACGTGATCACATTTCTACCTCGCATCAGAACCACTGGATCCCAAACAGCACAGAGTTTAAAGCACTGGCGATTAGGTGACTTATTTAGTGTGTTTCCACTTTTTGTCTTCAGGAGTGTTTGTGGAGAGTTGCTCCTCACACCGTCTATGCTAGTTGTGAGTTGTTCATGTCTTTTGAAGAATTGTTTCATGTCACTAAGCATTAAGTGTCCAGGGCATTAAAGAGCCCATCCTGCAGTTCACCGCAAACAGACTTGACTGATTTCTGCTCGATGTAAATATTCTGTAATAATCGTAGCTCTAGAATGCTTTTTAAACTTTACAACTTTTATAATCTGGACCTTTTAACATGTCTGTCTGGCTTCTTGCAACATGGTTTACATGTTGTTGAACACTGGAGATGGTTGAGATTTGGCTTTGTATGTCTTTTGTATGTACTTTGAAGAGATTCTTAAATTGGACTTTTTTAGCACGCTTTCATTTCTCAAAACAAAAAGAGAAAAGTGCTTTTCGTAACTCTTTTCAAACATTATATACTCATTATTATAGCTTTTACATGCGTTTTCTAACTGTTGTTTCTGTGTTTGGACCAAGCAGCTTTTTTTAATCTCAAGTTTTCAAAGATTATTTGTTCTATCCTTTGTGTTTCTTATAATCCATCTATGCTTTCTTGATTACATGCTTTAGTTTGATATAAAGAAAAACCTTAGTGACAGATTTGTGGATTTATAGCATGTGAGTTTATAAAGAAGAAAAAAGCATTTATTATATACATCCTGTTTTGCCATTCCACATAGCCATTATGAAAAGACAAGTTTTTTTTTTTTTCTTTCTAATAAACGAATAACCATATGGTTCATAAAGTTCACTGGGCTCATTTTTTATTTTTAATGAAGGTTTTTATTATATTTACTATTTTAAAAATATATATATATATATTTTTAATGATAGATTTGAAAAATTAAGCAATAAAACAAGCGATTCCAAACTTTAGAATATAGAATAAACAGTGATGCACATTCAATCTTCCATAATAAAGCTCTGGAATTCACTCTTTGCCATTAAAAGGGCACCTATTTTACCCCTTTTTCAGACTTATTTTAAGATAAGTCTTGTGTGTCTCCAGTATGTGTCCTAAGTTTCAGCTCAAAACACCCATCAGTTTATTTATTATACCTTTCAGAACGTTAGAATTTTCTGCTTTGAACACAATGAAGCTGATTTTTTTGTCTGTGCCCTTAATTCTTGTTCTCTCTGCCCACCGTGTCTTTCAGAGTATGCCTCAATCTCCGCTGTATCAGATGAACAGCACAGTGAGACATGAAGCAGATCTCACGTAGTGTTTGTGAGAAATACTACAGTAACAACTTTCCCAATGATTATTTGATGTGTTCGTTGTGGAGTTTATTCAAGCCTGCAACGGTCACACAATGTCGTAACAGTTTACGCGCACTCACACACACGCACACACGCACACGCACGCACGCACACACACAGTGCAAGTTGCAGTGTTTTGCACAACAAATGTGACAGGATACATGTTAATATCCACTGCTGTAAGGATATGTTAGGTTAATGAACAAAATAAACCTTATTTAACGTCCATAAACCAGGATTAAAGCATCTTTTATAATTGTACTGACACACGACTGTGGTGATGACAGTAAAATCGCTGTAATGATTATAGACATGCACGGTTTTAAACTTGTAAAACCCATTCTTGATCACATTTGATGATGATTGATGATCAGAGAGCTGAACACATCTTTTTTTTTCCCGGTGTCTTTGCCCGTATCCTTTTGTTGATATGAATATACACGTTACTACGGAGACATGTTAATACGCAGCTGTAAATCAATCTGGTGGGCGGGAAAACCGCCCTCCTATGTCACGTTGTGGCAGGCCTCAAAATGGAAGTGATTTGGATTATAATTTAACGTCAAGAAATTAAAAAATAAATAAATACAAATAAAAGAGAGCCTTCTTGTCTTTATATCACCCCAATATCACTGTAGACACACTATACCTGCACCGTTCTGTCCAAACTGCTTACCAAAGATGATTTTCATCATAGGTGCCCTTTAAGTCAGGCATTGTAATATAAAAAAATGTAAACGAACTCATTGACGCCATGTAAATATAATTTCTTAACTAAAATGACTGCATATATATATATATATATATATATACTATTTGAGATAAATTTCTGGGAAAAAAAGTTTATTTTTATCATCATCATACATTTGTTTAAATGATCAACAGACAGTCAGCTGTAATCACATCTACCAGTAGGGGAACATCTGCAGTTCATCCTTTTACTGACAAAAAACAAATCAGTCACAATAAGATGGTGTAATCAGCAATTATTTCTGAAACTTGGTCCATTATGGCTGCCATTTATTAATACTTGAGTACTTTCTGTAATACAATATATAAAAAAGTCAGCAAAACAAATTCCCCATAACTAAGGCAAGATCGAAGACACTGTCAGCACATGAAATAAAGATCTGAAGAATGATTGCTTTACTGTTTGAGGCTCACTAATACCGTTATCATCAATATGACTACATTAGAAAATAATATAACAGTTCAGAATTTTCTCAGGTTAACACAAATAACAAGCAGCATACATACAAATCTAAATGAAGGATGATCTTCACTGTGTTCTGAGGTTCAGCAGTGAAGAGAAAGTGTTCAGACTGTGGTTCGGGGTATTCGTCAACAGCTCCGTTTATGACCGTGATTTTTTTTTTTTTTGTTCAATTGTCTTTTCATGCTTTCAATATTTACAACACAAACACTAAACCTTCACTAGCAATTCCAGTAAAACATCGTCATGTTAACTTGTAAAAGACACGTCCAGGCACAATCAGAGCCAGTATCAGTGGGATTTGCTTGGTTTATTTGACAGCGGCTGAGGTCTGGTTCTTGATTGAACACCAGGCCATGAAAACATCTCTGTGAAAACAGTATACACTTACGGTTAGCAAAATTAAACTGACCACACAGAAAAAAACAACAACTGGGAAAAAACGATTATGCTTCTACAGCAGTGGTCTTGAACTCAATTCCTGGAGGGCCACAGCTCATTGCAGCTTCAACCACCTCCAACTCACACCTGCTTAATAGTCTCTAGTAGTCTTGATGAGTTGAGTTGGATCAGCTGTGTTTGATTTAGGTTGGAGTAAAATTGTACAGAGCTGCGGCCCTCCATGAATCCAGTTTGAGACTGGTGATATTCAATATATCTGCAGTCCTCACCTGCAGTGTGTGGCCACACATTCATTGCTGCAGTATTCTTTATCCCAGTCTCGACTCTCCACAGCTGGGTTTGTGCATCCGGCTCGGACACACAGATTAGCAGAAGCTGTTGAAGAGGAGGCAGCAGGAGCCACGCTGACCTCCATCTCCATCTGAAAAACAAGCCCAGAGATTAATGCTGTGATGCATATCCATCTGTATCTGATCTTATCATGTCATCAAGTTTAATTAGTAAACAGTAGCAATAACACAGTTTTACACTGTTGATGAAACTAATCTTCAGTTAACTTTCTTTAATTGGATCTCTGACTCTTCTACATCTGACAGACTGGCCATTTTTTTGGTTAAAGCTGTCGGTTTACCAAAAATCTTGGTGCTTGTTTTTATTACGGACATGTTTGGACTAACATCACATGATATCATTTATTTCATATATTTAATAATAGATGAATTATTGTGTAAATAACTCTGTGTGTGTGTTAGATGGTAAAGGTGAGGGCCGATGTCCTGCATATTTTAGTTCCAACCCCAATTAAACACATCTGAACCAGCTAATAAAGCTCTTTCTAGGTATACTAGAAACTTCCAGGCAGATGTGTTGAAGCAAGTTGGAGCTAAATGATGCAGGACACAGGCCCTCCAGGACTGAGTTTGGACACCCCTGGTATAGGTGATGTATGTATTGTGCATGTAGAGCTGCAGTACAATAATTGTCATCTGATTAGCATGCTAAGCTAACTGCGGGTAGTATAATAAAAAAGAAAACAACACTGCAAAAGGTGAAGCAGAGGACTTCCTTACTATTAGTAGGCCTATTGTAACATTGCTGCCTTGTTTTTCTTGTGTAGATGAGTGTTTTGTACACGGTTATGGATATATAAGATTTTTAAAACATAATGATAATAATAAGTGGTCTTATAACTTTATTCAATAAATGTTGGTCTAGTTTTAACTTGCTAGCAGTGGAAGTAGCCACACTGCAAGCTCAATAATGTACATCCAGCTACTAAATTTCCTTTACTCAAGAGACACTTTTAAACCTAAATGGTGTAGATGGTGTAAAACATTCATATAGCTTAGTATGACAATATTTTCTAAGATAATATCATGCCGATACACTTACAGTCATGACGCTCTAGCGCCAGTACTTTGATTTTATTATTCGAACGAATAATATAATTCCATAACGGTCCGCTAGATGGTGCCATTGAGTTTTTTTCTGGTGAGCAGAGCAACCTTCAGCATGCATGCAGTAAAATTGGATGGCAGCATCACAGAAAGGTGTACACAACGTTAATGGCAGGTTTTCATTAAAGTGTTTGTCTGCTTGACAATCCCATTTTCCACTGCATGTGTATATAGCAGAATATTGCTATACATTTGAAAAATCCTAAATAATATTATATCAGGACAAGTATTATAATATTGTATCGTTTCCCACCCCCAGAATAAACAATAGCTGTTTTATTGTTACAGGGACAGTTCACCCAAAAAAGAGAATTCTATCATTTATTCACCTTCTACTTGTTCCAAACCTGTTAGCGTTTTTTCTTCTTCTGTTGATCATGAAAGCAGATATCTTGTATATATGTTGGAAAGCAGCAGCCACTTCCTACTATTGATGTCAATGTGTGTTTTTTGTGTTTAAAGGGGTGGTCCAGAGTGTATTTCTAAGGCTTGGTTGTGTTTATAAGATGCAAAGCAATGTGTGCTCATGCTTCACATGTTGAAAATCACGCTATTTTTTCATATACCTTACTTTGATTATATACAGCTACTCAGCTAACATGAAAACAACTGTCATATTTCCTAGTTACTATCCCTCAATAGGCTCTAATTAGTCATCTAACATAGGCCCAATCCCAATTCTATTTTTGTACCCCTAAAAATTTACCCCTAAGAATTGGGACACTACAGCACCTGCACACACCATCATACGTCATCACAATCTCTTGCTTCATATGAGATCAGACGATCGGGACTGCTGTAGTTATTCCAGTTGTGTTCTTTTTGGTATTTATCTTCAGGAAATCACTCAAGTCATATATTATTTTATCATAACGATATAATGTGGCAATAAGATCATAACTATACTGTGTATTTACACCGTAGCCATATTCATCTATGCAGACACAATAAATCAACATTATAGCAGACGAGCTCATTCCCAACCACAAGACTTATCTGACAGGGGATTCGAGTGTCATCGAGAGTCAGAATGTTGTGTAACTGCTATACAGGAGTTATGATTAGGGATAATAGATAGCGATATTAGCAGTTTTTATTTTAGTGTTTTTGTTTTTTAAACCATGACGGTAAAACACAAATGCTGTTATGAATATATTAAAACATGCTTGTTTGTCGTAAAAATTCGTAATAACGACAAAATAAATACTAATTTGTGGATCTCCTGACTTCTGGTGCAGCTATACTGCCGTTGCGGCTGGTGTATTCTGGGAAATTTTCTTACCCCTTGGTTTCGAGTGTGGTCCTGAAAAATCTCATTTTGAAGGGGTATCAAGCCCTTCCCCTGAGCCCTACGCTATTAAGCTAAAGAGAATTGGGCCACCCCTACCCATTCACCTGAATGCACAAAAGAAGGGG